CCCCCGTTTGCTGGTCTCCGATAGGATTCCAAGATGGCGGATCCACGCTGCGTTAGCTGGTAGGGGACCTCTGCATGAATCTCTCCTCGCTCTCCGTTCTCTGTCAGTTTTCTCATTCCATTTGGTGCTTGGCTGAGTTCTTTATCTCTTCATTTGATGATTTAGGGTTTCAGGATTGTTGTATTCTCTGTTCGGGTTAGTTTTTCGGATCTTTGCTGTGGAAGGACGGCGTGGTGCTTCTACCTAGAGCGCCATTTTGCCGGAACTCTTCTCCCTAGGCTGTAATCTTTATGGGAACAGACTGCCAGGTCTTTCTCCTGAAGAGCTGCTGGCTGGGTTCAAACCGCCAACCTTTCGGTTATCACCCCAGCGCTTAACCTTTGAGCACAAAGGCTCCTTCAGAATTGTCTACCCAGGTGCTTTTTAATATGCAGATTCTTAGGCACCTAGCCTGCCCTAGAGATTTAGTTTCTTTTTTTAAAAAACAACTGCCTTAGAGGATTCTGATGCAGGTAGTCTATTGTTAGGTGCCCTGAGCCAGTTCTGACTCATAGTGACCCCATGTACAACAGAATGAAACGCTGCCTGGTCCTGCACCATCCTTACAATTGTAGCCATGTTTGAGCCCATTGCTGCGGTCACTCTGTCAATTCATTTTGTTGAGGGTCTCCCCCTTTTTCACTGACCTTCTTCTTTACCAACCATGAAGTCCTTCTCCAGGGACTGATCCCTGCTGATAACATGTCCAGAGTACAGGAGAGGAAGTCTCTCCATCCTTACTCCTAAAGAGCACTGTGGCTGTGCTTCTTCCAAGACAGATTTGTTTGTTCTTCTGGCAGTCCATGGTATATTCAATATTCTTCGTCAACGCCATAATTCAAAGGCGTCAATTCTTCTTCAGTCTTCCTTATTCACCGTCCAGCTTTCGAATGCATATGAAGTGATTGAAAATATCATGGCTTGGGTCAGGCACATCTTAGTTCCAAAGGTGACATTTTTGCTTTTTAACACTTTTAAGGAGGTCATGGAGCCGTGGTGGTGCAGTGGTTAACAGCTCGGCTGCTAATTAAAAGGGCGGCACCTCAAATCCACCAGTAGCTCCTTGGAAACCCTATGGGGCAGTTCTACTCTGTCCTATAGGTTCCCTCTGAGTTGGAATCCACTCAACGGCAACCGGTTTGGTTTTGGGTTTTTTGCAGCAGATTTGCTCAGTGCAATACGTCACTCAATTTCTTGACTGCTGCTTCCATGGGCATTGATTGCACAAGTAAAATGAAATCCTTGACAACTAGTGACCACAATTTGTAAAACACTCATGTAAACCTTTAAAAGAAATCGAATGATTCAGTAAAATTCATCCCTTATTGAGAAGGGACAGTGTTGACATGTTGTGGGGTTGTTAACCATTGTCATAAAACAGTATGTGTACTGTTTAATGAGAAACTATTTGTTCTGTAAACCTTTATCTAAAGTACAATAAAAAATTTAAAAAATAAAAATAAAAAAAACAAGATTCACACCCAGACGAAAAAAAAAAAAAATTCAACCCTTAAGTATTGAATTCGGCCCACAATTCTTCATGTTAGGCAATTTGGGGGTAATTATTAACCATATCTTCTTAAGAGACAGGAAAGTGACTTTTGATGTGACAATGGCCAAGGCCACCCAATAAATGAGTGGCTGGGTCTATGCTGGGAACCACACACACACTTGAACAAGCTCCCTGCTTAATTAAATTTCTCTTGCAGAGATGTTCCCTACAGATTAACATCGTAATGACTGTAAATTGTTCTGCTCCAGTATCTGAACACTAAGCACTTTGGTTAATGCCGGGGGTTGTTTGTCTTTATCTTGACTTCATCTTAATTTTCCTTGCAACTTTGGACACATCTTTTACTGGGACATAGCCTTAAGAATGTCAACCTGCAAAATGGGACAATAGCATAGGACAATAATATCATTAAATAATTTATACCTTGACGCTTTCCAAAGGGAAGTGGGATGGGAGTAACAATATTATTGCTGAAGACCTGATCTGGACTGGGTTACAAACATGCTGGATTTTCCCCACAAAGATTACAGAAGGATGATTCATCCACTCTCTGAAACAGACACTAGGGGTGTAGATTTTAAAGCACAGTTGCCACTCTCAAGGAGCTTCTACTCTCCAAACTCTAGATGGGTTTAAAAAAACAAAAACTGGCTGCTGTTGAGTCAATTTTGATTCATGGCAACCCCATGTGTGTCAGAGTAGAACTGTTGCTCCACAAGGTTTTCAATGGCTTATTTTTTGCAAGGGGGAGTAAATCGCCAGGCCTTTCTTCTGAGGTGCCTATGGATGGTACTAGAACCTCCAACCTATCTGTTGGCAAGTGAGCACATTAACTGTTTGCACCACCCAGGCACTCCCTTGATGGGTAGGGCACCAAGAAAACGACCATTACAACATGATATAGATTCAACAGTTTTAGGAATAAGCCCCAAAGAGTGGAAGCCTAACCTGGGCTGGAGCTGGCAGTGAAGTGAATGATCGATCCAGCAGTGGCATCTATGGGAAAGCTCTCCGTAGGGGATGTGACTTTCTGAGCTGAGTCTTAAAAGATGAGAACTCATACAAGTCCATTTCGACTCACAGTGACCCTATAGGACAGAGAAGAACTGCCCATAGGGTTTCCAAGGAGTGGCTGGTGGATTCAAACTACCAACCTTTTGGTTAGCAGCTGTAGCTCTTAAACATTATGCCACCAGGGTAGTTAACAAATCCCCTTGAGAGCTTCTTAAACCACCTGTAGTGGAGAACCAGCCATGTTTATTTTCAGTCTCCAGGTACCAACTGTAGAAAGCTGCTTGTGCCAGATGTGACTCACCCTTCGAGGTTTACAACACCCAAACTGGTTTCTACTAGGTTCAAAGAATCCACTGATCATGTTTTTGGAGTGGCAGCATTGCTAAATCACTACAAAAGTTTCTAAACCTCCACTCTCAGTTTATCTACTTGTCTTGTGACAAACAGGCACCAAACGGTTTGCAGACCAGCGCTGGGCCAGGCACCACTCTTTGAAGGATCCTGCCCTAGAGCCTTGCTACTCAAGGTGCGGTTCCGCAACGAAAGCCTCACCTGGAGCGTGTTAGAAATGTAGATTCTCAGGCCTCGCCCCATTGACTCCCAAACGGGAGCCCCAGGGGATATCTATGCGGGTTACAGTTTGAGGAATTGCCCTAGAGGAAGCCGGGACTCAGTTCCCAGAGGTTTCAGTCCCTCATCTGTCTCCTCCCATCTGCCCAAATGTTTCCTTTTATGTCCAGCAAAAGTGTTACGTTTTTTAAGGTGCAACTGGCCCCGTCCCTTCCCAGTTTACAAAAATACATTTCCCTGCTGCTATGAAAACTCCTTTTAACCTGACTGCAGGAGGGAAACCCAACACGAGACAGCAGCTTCCAGAAATTCTCATTAGCCTCGGTTCTCACTTTGATCTGGCCAGCAGCGGGGGTAGCGCTGCGGACCGTGCTTCCTCCCAGGGATCGCTCATCTGCCAAGCTGCATTAATGAGATCTGTGCTGTGCCCTTCTAGGGCTCGCTAAAGATCAAGGCACAGAAGAACCCTGCAGCCCCCAAGTGAAGGTTCAGATTGTGTCATGGAGCGGAGAGTTCCCTCCCAGCCCGCGCCTAGGTGGGGTGGCGAGGAGAGGAGAGGAGGCGCGCAGACCCGCCCCGCCGGCCGCAGAGCCTGCGGCAGCCGGGGGAGCAGAGCGGGCGGGGCCAAGGTTAGGTGGAGGCGAGGCACGTGGGCCGGGGAAGGTCGGACCCTGGAGAAGCGCGGGGCGGGGTTTCTGAGGGCTGGACTCCTGGAGGGGCGGGGAGGGGCCGGGCGAGAGGGGCGGGGCCGGACTCACGGGGCGGGGCCATGCTCTTGGGGCAGGGCCTGCCCAGCGGGAGCTCGGCTCCTGGCTTGGAGGGGCGTGGCTGGATTCACAGGGGCGGGCCGGGATCTCGGGGCGGGGTGTGCGCGCGGGTCTGTGAGTCGCGGTGCAGGCGTGAGCGGTGAGCCTGGCGCCGAAGTATTCTCCGTGGCCGCGCTCGCGCCGGAACAGCGACTCGGGGCTCACTTTGTGGCCGGCCGTCCCTGCCCGCGCCGAGCACCCCGGCCGGAGCGCTGAGGGAGGGGGCGCGCTGCTCAGCCCCCGCCGCGGTCCCTGGCCCCGGGGAGGAATGTGCCACCAGCTGTTCTCCGCTCGCGAGCGCTGCGCCCTGAAGTGAAGAAAGTGGAGAAGACGAGACAAAGGCTGCGGTGGGACGGAGGAGTTGGGAACTTGGGTTGGACAAACAAAAGGTGAGGAAGCGGAGAAGGACTCGAGCGATGGCAGCGCGGCACCCTCGCGGGCGCGGATTCCTGGGAGCTGCGCCGTGACACATGGTGTCCCGGGACCTGCTGCGGGCTGACTTCCGCGAGCTGGAGCCGGACGCCGGCAAGTTGAGGACTCCTGGAACAATGGACAACTTCTTCCCCGAGGTGAGTGCATGCGCCCGCCCGGGGGCGGCGGCGCCGTGGGCGCTCGACTGCGCGCCGAGAACCGGGGCGCGGGTACCCTTTAGCCCCCACCTGGTCACCATCGCCCCGAGTGAAAGGGACTTGCCCCCGGCCGCGCCCACCGGGCACCTTCCCCAAACCCGAGAGGGCACGACTTCCTGGGAGTCTCCAGATGAGTAAGCAGGGTAGGTTTTGTTTAGTCCTGCGCTCCCGCTGGCCTGCGGAATGCCTCGAAGGTGAGTTTACTTGGAGCGGTGGCCAGCTCACCCGGGTCCCCGCGGCTCCCGCGCGGCGAGGCGATCTGCACCAAGCCGGGGTACAGGCAGCCCAATAAAACGTTCACCGGGGACGTGCCTTGCTCCAAGAAAGGTCTGCTCTGGCATTTCCTTTGCAAAACGTGCGCGGGCTTCCTGTGCGAGGGGTGCAGACACTTCCAGAGGAGACGGGTTAATGAAGTGTGAGAAGGGAGGCAGGGTTTAATCATTCACTGCTCTCTGCCGGCCGGACTTCTGGAGTCTAGTTTTGGTGCTCACCAGGACGGGCTCTTCAAGGACTTGGGATTATTCTAGAAGATGGAATCAAAAGGGCATGTGATTGTGCTGTCTGTCCTTAGCAGATTTTAAATTCACGTTTAAAGAAAATTCATTTAGGGCAAAGAGTGGATTTATTTTTTTCACAGTATGATTGAGATTTAGTTCACGTACCGTACAATTCACCTAAAGTGTACAATTCAGTGGTTTTCAGTATATTCACAGAGCTGTGCAACCATCACCACAATCGGTTTGGATATTTTAAAGATTAAACTTAATGCCCTTTTGTCATTGAGTCCTAAAACTTGAGGGCAGGACACCAGAGTTACTTGAAACTCGACTTGAGAATTATTATTTCTTCCCTGGGATTGAGAGTTACTGTGGTTTCTTGGCTGTCTTTCCTTTCTTGGTTGTGTTTATTTAATAAATTCTGTTTAAGTTTGGGGTTTGAAGTGGCTCAAAGTAAACTTAGTTGACTTGAAGGGAGTCTGATGCGATTTTCAGTGAAAGCCAAGGAGTGTGTGAATCCGGGACAATCTTGTAATTGCCCCGCATATAGAGTGGTGATGGCTTGCCTCTGTGTTAGCAGGCTAACTTGCTTTATCGGACTAAATTGGATATAATATTTCAAGGCATTCTGCTTTCTGGATGCCCATTTTAACTGTATTCTCAGACAACTATTTATAGTGGCCAGCGTGATAAATATATTCTTATGCTATATAGTGATATCCAGTTTTCTGAAGTGGGTCTCAGTTGTGACACCCACATTGTCAGAGGTGGACCAGAAAGAAATTAATCATTCATCAGTACACATTTTTGCTTTTTATAAAAAATAATGAAATATATATAATTGTGAGATTTTACTGTTTTCAAATCTGTAGACCTTAGTTTTCATGCCTGTAAGAAGGCATCTGAACTTTTTGCAAGAGTTGTAGATTGTCCAGTGATAAAGAACCAGTGGGCTCTGTCTTTAATAGCTTTCATCTGTAAGAAAAGTGAGGGGTTTTTTTTTGGCCTGTAGGGCAATATTTCTTAACTTCGTGTGTGTGTTCTGGACCCCTTAGAAAATCTGATGAAAGCATAAACTTGGATATTCAGTTTGTGAGGGTCCCAGTCCCCACGAAGCCTGTCCTTGTACACAGGGGGTCCCTGGCCTCCCCTTGGGAAGAACTCTGCCCCCTAGTGCAAGTGGGGGGAACTGCAGGACAACTTGCAACAGCTGGCAAGTCCTGACCTTAAATTTCTCCTGCTGGGCTTTCAAGTACTTTCCTCTCTTACACTATACCTTAGTTCAGTGTGGAGAGGCTTGGCTGTTGGATTTTATTTCAGTGATTAATAGAATATTAAGAGGGATCATCGACTCTTCCTTCTTCATTTTATAGATGAACAGTCTTAACCGAAAGATGTGAAGTCACTTGCCCAAGGCTGATGAGCTTGTTTTAGAATCCACAGCTTTTTTTCTCTCTGCTGCTGATGACTTTGGTATTTCTGGGATGTTTTCATTTATTTCAAGTTAAACGTTTTATCTTGTGATGTATTTGTATTACAAGCTTAAATTGTAATCAGCCATCAGAGTTCCAACCCTAATGATGATCACTTGGAACGGGAAGCCAGCAGGGCAAGTCAGAGTCTGAATATAATGTATTAATTGGAAAAATGCTCCTAACGTAGACCCTGAATTTGTCTCTTTTTAAAATGTCTTATAACAGCGCATCTTTTGTCAAATTGTCCAGCGAAGAAAATGTAATGTTCTGTTAGAGTAGAAACAGAAAGTGTGAAAGTGATGTATTCCCAAACCAGAAAACCAGTTTGCAATAGTTGATTCTGACGCATGGTGACTCCATGTGTGTCAGAGTAGAACTGTGCTCCATAAGGTTTTCAATGGCTGGTTTTTCAGAAGTAGATCTCCAGGCCTTTCTTCCAAGGGGCCTCTGGGTAGACTCAAACCTCCAACCTTTTGGTTAGCGGCTGCTGCTAACTTTGTACCACTCAGGGACTCCAGCATGTTTCCAAGGACAGCTAAATAAGTGTCCTTATCACGAAGTGGTGCCCTGTTGCTCTTTGGTAACTTTTCCCGCTGTGATTTACGAATAGCAACTTGTTGCTTGTTGGACAACAGTTTGAAGCTAATGATAACAATTGAAAAAATTGAACGAGATGTTGCATGTATTAGCTTCATGTATGAATAGCCAGATAATAAGGAAATGGGTGTTACTTGTGACTAGCAGCTACTATGTAGAACTAGACCAAACCAAACCAAACTGCCATGGAGTCGATTCTGATTTATAGCGACCCTCTAGGACAGAGTCTACTGCCCCGTGGGATTTCTGAGGCTGTAAATCTTTATGGGAGCAGACTGCCATATCTTTCTCCTGTGGAGCTGCTGGTGGGTTTGAACCGCTGACCTTTTGGATAGCAGCCTGGTGCTTTAACTGCTGCACCACCAGGGCTACTAAAACTAGATGAGGGTTTCTCAAAGTCAGTTTGGATGGATGAAACTTTATTGTGGGAGGGAGTCTCTGGTGTACTGTAGGATGCTGCTCCTACCCACTGGATGCCAGTAGCACCCCCCAAGTTGTGACAACCAAAAATGTTTGCAGATATTTCCAAATGTCCCTTGGGGGGAGGGGCAAGTCACTCTCAGTTGAGAGCCACTGAGCTAGACCCCTTACGCAGTTGCCTCGTGGTATCAATTCCTATGCAGGTGGCAGGCAGAGCCTTCTTGTCTGCGCTTGCTGGTTTAAGTAGGATCAGGGATCTTATCGCCAGCTGGCTTGTGCCCATCAGCTGACGGCTACCGACTTCAAAATGTACTACTCCAGGATGGGAGAAACCGAGCAAACAAAACTCCCCAATGAGGTTCAGTTTCCTTCATTAGATTTTTATAGTTTCTCTAGAGTCAGTTGTATGTGCATTCCTGGGAAGCTTGTTTTTTTCAGCATTTTAGGTATGTTGTTAAACTGTTTACTTCAGTCAGAAACAAAGTTTAGGTATGTCTGTACCCAGACCCACCCACCAAACCCCTGCTGTTGAGTCAATTGCAACTTACAGTGACCCCATAGGACAAAGTAGAATTGCCCCATAGGGCTTCCAAGGCTGTAAGCTTTATGGAAGCAGACTGCCACGTCTTTCTCCCACCGAGTGACTGGTGGATTAGAACCGCCTACCTCTTGGTTAGCAGCCAAACACTCTAACTGCTGCACACCAGGGCTCCTTGTCTTGTAACCAGAGGCAATTAAAAAAAAAAGACAAAGAGAAAAGGCTCAACCAGCAACTTGTTGTTGATGTTTTGAAGTTGACGTTTTGAAGCGGACAGCTGTTCCGATGTCCCGGGGCTAAGTGCGGTGCCTACAACACAGTAGCTGCCCAGTAAGTACCAGTTACACACATAAATGAACTTGACTTTTCTGTTTTCTATTTTGCAAATAAGTGTGGCACATTGGTTATTCAAGCAAAAGATCTTTTTTTTTTTTTGCAGAAGAGCTTTTGAGAATTATTATTAATGAGACATATAAACATTGATTTTCAGAATAAATATATAAAATGTACACAAGTATGATACTCTTAGTTACAGATATACAAAGCAGGTATTGATGTTTTCAAGGATAAATGGTTAATGGAAAATATTCCAGTTGTACCTTTCTTACGGCTGGGTTCACTCGGTTGGAACAAATCCACCTCTAAGGATGTTAAGTGGAAACGCCTACCTGTTTTCCACTTGAGAAGGTACCTTGGTGTTTGATTGTTAGCTCATGTTGTTCAGATAACTTCTGAATTCTGAAGTCTAGTCCTGAAGCCTATTTTTCTCCCCTTTTTGTAGTATGTTGTAGTTTTCTTTTCTTGTTGAAAAATAATTTTAGAAGTTTTTTTTTTCTTTTTTATTGTACTTTAGATGAAAGTTTATAGAACAAATAGTTTCTCATTAAACAGTTAGTACATAAATATTGTTTTATGACAATGGTTAACAACCCCACGGCATGTCAACACTCTTCCTTCTCAACCTTGGGTTCTCTATTATCAGCCTTCCTGTCCTCTCTTGCCTTCTAGTCTCTGTTCCTGGACTGTTGTGCCCCATTAGTCTCATTTTGTTTTATGGGGCTGTCTAATCTTTGGCTGAATGTTGAACCTCAGGAGTGACTTCATTACTGAGCTAAAAGGTTATCCGGGGCCATACTCTCGGGGTTTTTCCAGTCTCTGTCAGGCCAGTAAGTCTGGCCTTTTTTTGTGAGTTAAAGTTTTGTTCTACATTTTTTTTCAGCTCTGTCCAGGACTTTCTGTTATGATCCTGGTCAGAGCAGTCAGTGGTGGTAGGTGGGCACCATCTAGTTGTACTGGGCTCAGTTGAGACGTTATTTTTGACAGCACCTGCTTTTCCCATATTATCTCTAAACATAAAAAGGAGGAGCTGGGGACTTCCTTGTGCCATCAAATCCCGAAGGCAGCTCCTTTTGA